AAAAATACTGAAGATTATTTGCATTTCGTCTTGCAGATGTAAAGTGTGTCCGCTGACGTTCTTCTCCAAGTCAGACATGCAGATACACTCCAAGACCCACACGGAAGCAAAGCCTCACAAGTGCCCTCACTGCACCAAGTCCTTCGCCAACGCGTCCTACCTGTCCCAACACCTGCGCATTCACCTGGGAGTGAAGCCGTATCACTGCTCCTACTGCGAGAAGTCCTTCCGCCAGCTCTCACACTTACAGCAGCACACCAGGTAACTCTTCAGCCTCAGCTTGTGCACGTGTTTGATTTGAAGAGCTCAGACTGACTCAATGACCTTCAAGTTTTGATATTTGTGACCCTGGACCACAAAAAACAGTCATAAGGGTCAATTTTTCGAAATTGAGATATATACATCATCTGAAAGCTGAATAAATAAACTTTCCATTGATGCATGTTTTGTTAGGATAGGACAATATTTCTATATATAGGATAGGAAAATCTGGAATCTGAGGGTGCAAAAAAAGTTGTCTTTAAAGTTGTCCAAATGAAGTTCTTAGCAATGCATATTACTAATCAAAAATTAAGTTTTAATATATTTACAGTAGGAAATGTACAAAATATCTTCATGGAACATGATCTTTAATATCCTAATGATTTTTGGCATGAAAGAAAAATGTTCTAATGTTTTTTTGGCTATTGCTACAAATATACCCCAGCGACTTAAGACTGGTTTTGTGGTCCAGGTCACATTTGTCAACACATTTTGCTTGGGTTCTTTGCATTCTACAGAATCCACACAGGTGATCGGCCATATAAATGTCTCCAACCAGGCTGTGAAAAGGCCTTCACACAGCTCTCCAATCTGCAAGTAAGACCCAAATATCTCTTCTTTTGTAGTTGTTCACATATTTCATGAAACAGTATTCCTTTTAGTAATGTTTTTGTTTGTTTCTGTCATTTTTATTAGTTTTATTAAGACACACACACACACACACACCTATATATTCATATATGATAATATATTTTTATTTTATTTAATATATATATATATATATAATTTATGTGTATATATATATATATATATATATAAAAATCAATAGCAGTCACCTCATGTTAACTGTACATATATTAGCACTGATGTAATCTGTCTTGGTGAGTGTGTGAGCGTGTGTTTGTGTGTAACGAGAGCTTTGTGTTTCTTTACTCGCTGCAGTCTCACCAGAGATCACATAATAAAGACAAGCCTTACAAGTGCTCCAACTGTTACCGCACTTACTCGGACTCCGCCTCCCTCCAAATCCACTTGTCTGCTCACGCAATCAAAAACGCCAAGGCATTTTGCTGCAGCATGTGTGGTCGAGCCTACACCTCAGTAAGTACTACAGCATTCATCATCCTGACTCCTCCACCGTCTTGTGTTTAGTGGAGTGGGATGTGGTAGTTTTTCTCAAACTTTCAGACCAACAGCCATGTGCGATTAAAGCGGTTAATGTGTAGTTGACAGGAAATACTTTTACGAAGATTGTGACATGCAATATTCTAAAAAAAATCCAAAACATTTATGATCAGAGTTTTGCTGATTCTTTTATAATTAACACGCATGCAGTATTTATGGCCTTACAGTAATGCATAATACCTTAAAATGTGGTTAAAATGGGAAAGTTGTTCCTTTGCGTTTTTTACGTACAGACAACAACATTGTCAAAGTGATCCCCGTTCACACGGATCCGACTAAAAACACTGTATTAATCACAAATTTGTGTTTATGTAGTTTACACGGAGACTATAACGGTATCATTTTCAAAAACTTGCACTTTTCAAACGTTTTTGAAGTTGAAGTTTTTTCAAAGTTTTCCCTTTTTTTTTTTTTTTTAAAGGGGGGTCGTGTAAATGGCCCCTGAGAAAAAAAATATAAAAATTGACACTGTAAGATTATACAAAAATAAAAATAAAAAAAATAAACCTATAGGCAAAAACTATTTTGCCTAGAAAAGTTAATTTTTTCAAAAAGAACAATTTAAAAAATGGTGTAAGAAAAGAAATGGTGACCAGTTACAATACCTAAGAAATGCAATTCATCTATATTTTAAAATCTTGATTCTGATTTATATGTATTGTCATATTTCATATTAATATCACATTATTGTTATTTTATTATTATATACTTTTTTAATGAAAAAGCAATTTAAAATAAAATTACAATTTAAATTATTATTTTATTTCAAATGTTTAGTTGTTTATTTATATATTTATTTATAGTTTTTTTTTTCAGAATCGTACCACCAGTGTTATTTTAGTATAACTGAGATACTGTATTATAGAAATGCTATTATATTTTTTATTAGTAGTTGAATTATTTGTTTGATTTTGAATTTTTTTATATTTTCCATTTTCATTTAAATTTTTGTTAAAGTTGTAGTTTTTTTTTTTTTTTGGTTGTCTGTTTTTATCATTTTTATTAGGTTTTGTTTTTTGTTTTTAGTTTTAGTAAACTATAGCCCTGAGTACCTCAGTTTGAGAACCACTGGGTTGTGGCATTTCTTCCATGCTCCACTATTTTAACCATTATTAAAATGGCAAAATATATAAAATAAGTGACAAATTAGTTTTACCATTTTTATTTTAAATAGTTATTTGCTTAAATATTTATATAGTTTATTTTAAATGTCCATAGTAGTACCATATTTTGATCTTTTCTTACATGCCCTAAAAAAAAAAAAAAGTCAATTGTTTTATGATTTAGTCCACATGTTCATACAGTTTCTAGCACTATGCAGTCTTTTTTTCTTCTTCTCCTTGATTCATGAACATCTAATATGTCGTATAATGCCTCTTTCCAGGAAACCTACCTTATGAAACACATGTCTAAGCACATGGTGGTAGAACATCTGGTGAGTCAACACTCGCCGCAAAGGACCGACTCGGCCAGCGTTCCCGTTCGCATTTCCCTCATCTGAGACCCTGGTCCTGGACCAGTCCGCGGTCGGTTGGTCAGTTCCCAATCTTGGCATAAGCAAGCCAAATCACCCATTCTCGGTGGTTTGACATTTATTTTTTTGTGTGTTTGTTAGTTTGTTTTAGTTTTTGAGAACATTCCGACATGTATCAGTTTGTGTGGATAGAGGCTCAAAACACAACAGCGGTTTGGGCAGTTTCTATTACACACATTCCTCTTCTCCAACTCGTCGTTGAGTTGAGAGGGAATAATCGGGAAATCCAAAGATGGTTTCACAGCACTTTCAGGCCACACAGTTTTGGCTTTAAAAGTTTCTGCTCTTGGCAGCTAAGCGTTTGGGACTGTAGGTATTATGCATTATAAAATCACAGGACATATGTTGTATGTTTTAAGCTTGGACCAAGTCCAGTACCTCCTCTCATATTTTTCTATGCCGTCTGGGAAAAATCCCTTTCTTTTGGGCAACTCAGAGTTGGTTTGGAGACCAGTGGTCTTGTGTTTTGATAATGTCAATCATAAAATGTTTTCATTTCATTTATTAAAACATTTCCTTGCTTGTAGGGAAATCGGACATCGAAATGAAAATAGCTTTAGCATTAAAGTTAACTCCTCAAGAGGACTGTTATAAATCTGACTTTATAGACAAATCAGCACATTTGGATGTTTTGCAAGATTGATCCCTTAGTGCTTCACAAATTTTTGAGGTCTGGTGCCAAAAATGGAATATGAAAATGGCAAAAGATTCTGATGTTTCAGAATAGACATGTATAACATTTAAAAATTACACTTAAACCTGCGACGATTCATGTTACAGATGTCAGCATGCATTTGACATTCTAGATGAGTGAAAACTGTCAGGAAATGTCCAGATTACTATATTTTGCATAAAAGAAAATGAAGATTATGATTTTTTTTTTCTTTTTGCATGCGAGGCATTATTTTCATCCTGCCCCTTTAGTGTTTAAATTGAATGTCTCATAAATTGTATAAATGTCTCATAAAAATACTATACTTAATTTGTTTTTATTTTAATATTGGTATTAATGTTATAATATAATGTCCAGTTTTTATTACTGTATTACAGTAATGTGATTTTTTTATTTCACACACATTTATATATATATACACACACACACACACACACACACACACACACACATATATATAT